ATGTTGGATAATGAGATGGTTTCTAAACGATGAATGAAACTGTTGAATGCAGATAATTTGTGTGAAATGGGATGGTTAGAATTAAAATGTATGACATGATCTGTTTGTGTGGGTTTTCTGTAGATGCTATAATCAAAGACATTATTAATTCTATTGATGGAAAGGTCCAAGAAATTGATGGAGAAATATTGTAAACTATTATCACTACAGCTGTTTCGGTTGATTGCCTTTTTCAAGTGATCTATTTTTGGCATGCGTTCACACTTTATAGTCTCTAATGAAGTAGGTTGAGGAAGGGAGAACTGTTTGTCTCTAGTCTCTAGTGAAATGCGTATGTAGGATCTGTTTTTCTAATACTGAAAGCCCTTTTATGTTCTGCTATTCGTTTATTAAAGTTTCTACCAGTTTGACCGATGTAAGTTTTTGGGCAGTCGCCACATTTAATTTTGTACACACTACTGTGTAAGTGTTTTTTATTTTGACTCTTGTTGTTTTTCATATATTTAATATAATAAACGAATAGCAAAACATAAAAGGGCTTTCAATAATAGAAAAACAGATTCTACATACGCACTTCACCTTCTAGATCATAATCATTCTTTTAATAACGAATTTAAAATTCTTCACATTCAAAATGTTAAAATATATGGAAATCAAAAAATTAAAAAACACAGATAATTCTGAATGACCAATATGAGAAACAGTTCTCCCCTCCTCAACCTATTTCATTAGAGATTATAAAGTGTAAATGCATGCCAAAAATAGATCACTTGAAAAATACAATCAACCGAAACAGATGTAGTGATAATAGTTTAAAATAAATTTTGTGGAAGTTTGAAAATAAAGTTAAGGTGTTTTATTGTTACATAAAATGAATTTTCATCAGTAACGGTCGAATACATCAATTATTTAGTATTTATTAAAATGTTTTTTTTTTTTTTAATTTTTACTAGTTTTATAGCATATGACCTGATTTAATAGCTAATTTCATATCTTTAAATTTCCCTCATTAAAATTGGCTATATTTATATTTTTATGGAAGAGAGGCGAAAAGTCAAAGATCAGGACAAAACATTATTTAAAACAATAGACAAAGAGATCAAAAAAAGCAATTAAGATGAGTAAGGACACACAGCTGAGAGAACAATGTGCGGAAATGCAACTATTACTACAGAAACACGATTCATTCAATATACACAAAAAAATGAAAAGAAGCTGCAGGGTTATACAAGCCTAAAAGAATTGGATATTTGGCAGACAGTAATCCACTAGGTAATCCACTACTAAGTGTGAAGAGAGACTAGACAATTGGAAGAAATATGTGGAAGTAACAATTGCAGATAAAAGGCAGATTGCCATTGAATACATAGAATGCCAAACAGGACCCTAGGTTACCATTGAAGCAGTCACGGCAGCTATTAGAAAAACTAAAGAATGTAAAGCTGTAAGACCTGACAAGTTTTATATAAAATTTCTAAAACTTATGGACGAATAAAGAATAAAATCGAAAACCACTATATTTAACAAAATATATGTAACTGGAAATATTCCAAGAAAAAACAAGTCACTGGTATACATAATGACCAAAATGAATTAATAACGGACCCTAGCAATATACTTAATATTTGGAAAATGTACACAGCCAATTTGTTCAATGATGACAGAACACAAAAACCACCACAACTGGGAGACCATTTGTATGGCCCAAGTATTTTGAAAGCTGAAATTGTACACGCTATCAAACTATTAAAAAGTAACAAAACCCCAGGACCAGATGATATGTACGCAGAAACAATCAAGTTACTTAATAAAGAAAACCTAGACATTATTGTCAAGCTCTTTAACGACATCTACGATACGGGCCAGATTCCAAAAGATTGGCTTCGATCTACATTTATCGCCCTACCAAAAACACCACCTGCGAACTTCTGCAAGGACCACCGACTAATAAGCCTAATGAGTCACTTTTTGAAACTTTTCCTGAGAATACTTCACACTAGATTGTTTAAGAAATGTGAAGAGGTCAGTGGATGGAGTCAGTTTGGTTTCAAAAATGGACTTGGCACGAGAGAAGCGATCTTTAGTATGCAAACATTGATACAGAATTGTTTAGATCAAAGAAAGGATGTTTTTGTCTGTTTCATCGATTACGAGAAAGCATTCGATAATGTAAAACACGAATTGATGATAAAATACCTACAAGAATTGGGATTGGATGCAAAGGATATAAGAATCATCGCCAATCTGTATTGGAATCAGACAGCAACAGTACGTCTTCAAAATTCCAACGAAACAGAAGATTTCTCCATTAAAAAAGGAGTAAGGCAAGGTTGTATACTGTCCCCAATGCTGTTCAATTTATACGTAGAAAAAGCCTTCGCAGAAGCAGTGGAAGACTCTAATAAGGGTATTAAAGTTAACAGCATATTTATTAATAACATCAGGTATGCCGATGATACAGCCATAGTGGCAGATAACATCGAAGATCTTCAATGCCTTTTAAATGACCTAACTCTTGCAAGTGAAGCTCGGGGTTTGAAAATAAATATCAAGAAGACAAAATCAATGATTATAAGTAGAAATGATTACCCCAACGCAAAGATATATGTCTCTAGAGAAGAAATCGAACAAGTCAGGCAATTCAAATACTTGGGATGTTTGCTGAATGAGGGTTGGGACCCCGAGAATGAAATAAAGAGCAGAGTTGAACAAGTCAGAAATGCTTTTTTGAGGCTTCGTAAGTTTCTGACTGATCGCAAATTGGACTTCAACCTCCGATACAAGATGTTTAAGTGTTACGTGTGGCCTGTTCTCCTGTACGGAATGGAAGCATGGACGTTAAAGGCCAGTTCCATTAACAAACTTGAAGTGTTTGAAATGTGGTGCCTGCGTCGAATGCTCAGAATATCATGGACGGACAGGGTCAGAAATGAGGAAGTACTCAGAAGAGCGGGCTTACAGGATAGGGAACTTTTTAATTATGTAAAAAGTAAGAAGACTGCATACTTGGGAAACATAATACGAGGAGAACGATACACTTTTCAGCAACTGATACTCGAAGGGAAGATAGAGGGTAGGAGAGGTCTCGGACGTAAAAAAATGTCATGGCTGCGCAATATTCGACAATGGACAGGAATCCACAGCTATGAAATGCTTCGCAATGCTGCTAAAAACAGAATTATTTAATCCAGAATATTTAACATCTCACCTGACAAGACGATGTACGGTGGACGCCTACGCAGAAATGCACGGCACCTTAAGAAGAAGGAAATATTCCCCATAGCTGGTTAAATCCGATCTTCGTAACTATACCAAAAAAATTAAATGCAAAACATGCGAAGACTACAGAATAAATTAGTCTAATGATCCACTTACTTAAAACGTTTTTGAAAGTGATTCATAACAAATTATATAACAAATGTAAAGAACAAGTGTAACATGAACACAATTTGGATTCCGCGATACCTTAGGCACCCGAGAAGCTCTATTCGCTATACAAGTGCTTATCCAGAGGTGCATGTATATTAATTCTTCTTCTTCTTTGGGTGCCGTATCCGTATTCAGACGTTGAGCATCATCATGTTTAAAATTTCCTGAAACCTCTCTCTGGATGTTAATTGTAATGTATATATTTGTTTTATTGACTACAAAAAATGTCATTTGATAGAGTAAAATATGACAAGCTCATATATATCTCGAAAGAAGCGGGCTTGGATGATAGTGACTTGCAAATTATATATAATTTATATTACAACCAAACTGCCAACATTAAAATGAATGACCAGTTGATAGAGACAATCTCCATAGATAGAGGAGTAAGACCAGGATGAATTCTGTCTCCAGTGCTATTTAACATGTATTCTGAGCGTATCTTCGAGCTAGCATTAAGACAATTACAGGAAGGCATTTTAGTTAACAAAATACCTCTAAACAACATTAGATATGCTGACAATGTCGAGCATATTAGATATAAGTTGAGAATATGGTCTTGATCTCAATAAAAACAAAACAAAGTACATGGTAGTTAGCAAGCGCGAAATATTAAATACACATCTTTTGGTAAATTAATAGCCAATTGACAGGGTAAACAGCTGGACATATCTTGGTTCTAACATAAACAGTCAATGGGACCACTCTACTGAAATAAAACAACGCATGGGGAAAGCAAGATCAGCGTTCGTAAAGATAATGTCTCTTTTCGGAAGTCACGATTTACCACTTGGTACCATAATCTCTATCATCAGATGCTCTGTATATTCTACATTATTATATGGAGTAGAGGCAGACACGTTTTATAAAGCTTCTTTAGGTGCGTTCGATATGTGGTCTTACAGGCGGATCTTATGAATTTCATGGGTGGATCGTGTGACTAATATTGAGGTCTTGCTTAGAATGGGCAAGGAATGTGAGATTATTGAGACAAGACAAGACGTCGGAGACGTGGGTGACAAATAAAATAATAGAAAACAGAATAAATGAAATGAAAATTATACTTTGAAGAAGAAGCTCTAATAAGCAATAAAGACAAATGTGAAAAATGAACGAACTTACATATGTAAAGGAGACTCTAAATGACTCAATATGATATGGATATATGCGAAGGATGGACGAGATAAGAATACGCTAAGAAGTTGATAATAAACACCAAAGGGAACAAAGAATAGGACGTCCCAGATTACAGTGAAGCAGACAAATAAAAATAGCAATGAAAAAAATAAACATCACTGAAGAAGACATATATGGTAAAAAGAAATATAACTAGAAGAACAAATTGACGATTGGAATATGGCAAACGGCAAACAAAATATGCTTTATACAGCCACGGACTAGTAAGTAGGTACCTCTACTCCTTTAATACTCCCTTTGTAGTTGTGTGTGTATTAACCATAAAAACATAGATATTATGTTAATTTTAAACACTCTTCTAGTGTTTTAAAAATTATTAGAGCTTTAAATTGAGAACAAAAAATAATTCTAGTGTTTTAAAAATTATTAGAGCTTTAAATTGAGAACAAAAAATTTATTAGAATTTACACCTGTTTTTAAATTATATTTATGTTTTAAAAACTTTTTGCCTGCATTAGTATGCGAAGATGTTCGTAAGTAAGCCAAAAAACAGACGCCCATGGTCCTAAACGAATCCAGGTAGGTAAAAACCCCTTGTACATGGCCATAAATCCTTCCTCTTTAATAGCTTTCATTAAACAATCTACAGCACCTTTGTACAAAGTTCCTCTTCCTTGACTATCAGTTGGTTGATTCATAACTCTTGATTTAATAAGATCTGCCGGAGTCGATAATATTGCTGCAGCAAATCCAGCACAACAACTCGATAAGGCATGTAATAACCATTCATCCGGCAAGTTTGTATGTTTCTGAATGAATCGTTTGGAAAGATCGTATGTTGCGAGGTCTCCCAAAGTTACCAAAGCAGCTCTTTGGACAGAGGGAACCCATCCTTTCCAAAGTCCTCGAACACCACCTGCGTTATATATTTTAACGAACGCGTCTGGTACACCATGAACTCTAGGGGGAAGACCCAGTAGTCTTCTTTTACCTTCCATTTGTATTTGCACTTTAATAAGATCAGCTGGATTAGCCAGATATTGACCAATGCCTCCTGCCGTTAAACCTGCAAGAGCTCCTTGCCAAAAACCAAAAGTTTTTTGATCTGGATGGCGTTTAATGTAATATTCTCTCATCTGAGTATAAAGAACTAACCTGGTTCCTGAATAAATTAAGTGTCTTAGGTATACAGCGCTGATTCCTCGCCACAATCCGAATACGCCCTCTTTATTAATTATATCTAGTGTTGTACCCAGCATGCCCTTTTTGGGACCTTCACCAATTTTACTTTGCTTTTCACCTTGAATCTGAAGTCTAGTTTTTATGAGATCTAATGGATACGTCACATTTTCTGCGTTACATGCAGCGAGCACCGAGCACATATACATACACCATAATGCATCTACGTTTATCAAAGGCTTCTTTTCACCATCTGAGACTTTACAGACTTGTAAATTTTGTTCATCATAGGCTGCATTTTTTACCATGTTTTCCAAATTTTAGTATCATGAATATTTATAAGATATGAATACTGTATCTAAAATCACACCAAAACCAAAATAACTATAGTTTTTAATTAATTTCCCAATTTCTTGGAACTGAAAATTTTAGTAAAACATTAAAAAAATTTTGACAATTTAAATTTAATACTTATATTTATATGCCATTATGTCAGATATGTCAAAATTTGATATTGGAATAAAACATTACAATACAAAATGTACCCATTAAAATTACCATAATTAACACGGGCGTAAAAATAAATATCGCGCAAAAATAAGGGATGACAAAATATTTTATTTAAAAACCTCGAAAGAATATTTACGTTCAAGATGTTGGCACACCGAAATAGTGTATATATCGGTTTAAGACATTTTTGTATGTCTTCCGATATCCAATCGCCATTTTTTCGGTCCGTCGGGTATTCTTTGGGCATGTCCATACCACCTTTGTTGATGAATGCTAATATCTTCTACTATTGTTTGATTTACTTTCATGATTTTCCTTATTTTACTGTTAGTAACTCTTTTCAATCTTGATTTTACTGCCGAACATCTCCAGAAATCCATTTTGGTTGCTTCAATTTTTTTCTGTAGTAACTTTTTCTGCCATACTCATCATCATCATCTAGCCTCAAAAGTCCACTGCTGAACATAGGCCTCTTCCTCATGTTTCCAACCCCGTCTATCTTGCGCCTCTCTTATCCAGGTTTTATTGAGTCTTCTTAAATCGTCAGTCCATCTTGTAGGTGGTCGACCGACGCTTACTATATGGCTGTATACTATATGGCTGTAATTGATTGCACTTTTAATACTTGTGTAACCGTAAGTAGACGGTAAGCCACTTGAGCTTTGACCTCCACGGCTTACACCATGCGCAACTACTTCGCGCATTTCTTATTTCACGAAATGTAAGTATGCGTGAGACGTACATTTAATTTTGGGGGCTAATGAATTTGATTTTTTAAATCCTTTAAAAAAGGGCAATACGGGTACCTACGGCCTATTTCCCCATATTAAATCTCATAAGAAATCGCCAAGGTACATTCTGGTAATTTTTTGCACTTCATAGTTCTGAATTTGGTGTCCAATTGCTTCTGTTACTGCTCCCTTTATGCACATTTTTAAATACTTATAACGTTCTTTGCCATTATTAAATTTTCTAATATCCAACTTTTGGTCCAGTTTCTTTCTATATAATTAAAACTAAAGCTAAAATTATTACTATTACAAGAATTATTAATAAATTCAACAGGCTTTCGGGTTGAACCGCGTCGATTATCACTGCGCCGAGCTTTCGAGACCATCGCTGATTTTCGAGCATTTTGATTAGAGTGTGGAGCGGACGATATTTTCTTTATGAGAGGTCTCCAGTTCGAATTTAACCGGATGTCGTTATCTTATTTATTGATACAATTTGTATGGCTTCTTATTGGATTGAGACTGATTAAGAGATTGATGCCTGTTAATGTGGTTTTCGTAGTAACCATTTGTACTGGTCTACTTCTTCCATTTCTACTTCTATTTCAAGAATAGGTGATCCGGTATTGTCTATTTTATTCTATGTCCTAGTCAAACTCCTATTATCTTCCAATGTTATTGTCACATAATTCATTCATATTGTTTTTATTTCTTCTATATAAATTATTGTATTTTCTTGAGCGTCTGTTATGTGTTTTTAATTTATGTTTTCTTTTGTGACATTTCGTTCATCGGTCACAGGTATTGGTTTAATACTTCTCTCTCTTCTTCTTCTTCACGTGCCATCTCCGCTACGAACGTTGGCTATCATCATGGCAATTTTGACCCTGGAGGCTGCCGCTCGGAACAATTGTATGGAAGTGCAAGCAAACCACTCCCTGAGGTTTCTCAACCATGACATTCTTCTCCTACCTATGCTGCGCCTACCTTCAATCTTTCCTTGCATAATTAGTTGCAACAGTTGATATTTATTCCCACGTGTAATATGTCCCAGGTATTGTAGTTTTCTCATTTTAACACTCAATACGACCTCCTTTTGTTTCTTCATCCTGTCTAATACAACTTGGTTAGTTATCTTATCCTTCCAGGAGATTTTTAACATTCTTCGGTACGCCCACATCTCAAATGCCTCCAGCTTACCCATACATTGCTTATTTAGTGTCCACGCCTCCACCCCATATAACAGGACCGAGAAAGCATAACATTTAAGCATTCGTATTTTCAGCTTTAGGCTTAGGTTACGGCTACACAACATTTGTTTCATATTGTTAAATGCACTGCGGGCTTTCTCTATTCTTATTCTTATTTCTCTGGTGTATTCGTTTGACTCGTTAATATGTGTTCCGAGGTAATTGTAATTTTGTACTCGTTCAATGAGATTCTGTCCTACATGTAAGTTGATATTATTGATACGTTTCTTTGTAATTATCATGAATTTGGTCTTCTTTGTATTCAGTGACAGACCAAATTCTTCACTTGCTTCTACCACTTTGTTTAGTAATCTCTGTAGGTCGTCAATATTTTCTGCTATGAGCGCGGTATCATCAGCATATCGGATATTGCAAATGGGGTGACCGTTGATCTTTATTCCGGCTTTTTCGTTCATAAGAGCTTATTTAATAACTTCTTCCGCGTAGATATTGAACAAGGTTGGAGACAACACACAGCCCTGCCGAACACCTCTTTTGATCTGTATTCTATCTGATATCGAGCTGTTAATTCGTACTGTAGCTTCTTGTTTGTAGTATAGATTCCTTATCACTCGCATGTCCCTTTTATCAATATTTTTTCTACTTCTCTCTCAATTACTACTAACTCTTAAGTACTAACTTTAGGATAGTGGATCAAATAAAGTTTAAAATTTAAATAAAATCCAAAGACACTGATTTATTACTCATCTTTAATGCCAAATGTTGCCAGACTCAGAGATGGAAGATGAACCAAGAAAATTTTAGAATAAAGACAGACACGATGCTTGTCGTAATCGAGGTGTTCGGACGACATCAAGCGCATCCAGCACAATGTGCTAGACTCAATGTGCTTAAGATCGAATACAATGAAATTATTTACAAGAGGCCTATGTTTAGCAGTGGACTTAAAACTGCTAATGATTGTGATAAATGCCAAATAAAGTTTACGTATTACTAACACGTGCCTTTAATGAAACATATATTTAAAACTTACCACCTCCAATTATTTTCTAGCTGACTTACCTGTAACAAAAACATTATTTACAATATATACATAAAAATAAATTTAATAAAAAATGTAATAAGTATTATGTTTGTATAAGCTTAAGCCACAATTGGTTGTAATGACAGTTACATTTTATAATTGTTTTTTGACGTTTTGATTTCCACTCCGAAAATCAGAGTTTTCAAAAAAAAAAAATTAATATCTTACAAATAATTATTAGATAATAGATAATATCTACAAATATTTTAAAAATCTGCTAAAAAATATAGCTCAAAATTTTGGTTAGGTTGTTTTTTAAAACAGACTGTTGACTTGCTTGAGCTCGATTTTGTAGCAAATAGCCACGGTTTTAGTAAAAAAATTCTGAGGGTGGTGTTTGTGTCTTCATAATGATATCAAAATTCTGATCAGGTTTTCCGTTGTGATCTATTCTCAAAAGGTCTAAATTGTGCTCTAATATGCCTATCAGTTTCTAAAATAGACATAAGTTTAATTGAAAAAGTCCATCAAGAACTATCAATACACGAAAAAAAAAGAGAATATAGAGCACTGTGCACAAAGGGACTGGATAAAAGCACAAAATCAAAAGCAAATGTTCTCTTTTTCTTCCTTTTCAACCATTTTCCATCCACTCCTGAATGTAGGTCTCTCCCAGTTGCTTCCATCTTTCTTTATCTTGCGTCAATTTAATCCACTGTTTGCCTGCCACTGCTCTTATATCATCTACCCATCTTTTTTGAGGTCTTCCCGTGCTTCTTGATCTCCATTCTAGAATTCCCCGTGCCCACCTGTTGTCATTATTTTGGGCTACGTGACGTGCCCAGCTCCATTTCATTTTTGTAATTTCTTCCACAATATCCCCAATCTTCGTTCTACGTCTTATCTCGGTGCTTCTAATCTTGTCTCCCAGAGATATTCTAAGCATGATTCGTTTCATTGCTCTTTGCGTTATTTCTAATTTTTTAGCAGATTTTTTGGTAATGGCTACTATCTCCAAGCCGTAAGTACACACTGGTTGTATGCATGTGTTATATATCTTTTTCTTTAAGTTTACAGGAATGGAGGTGTTTTTCAAGATATATGCTAGTTTGCCGAAAGCGCCCCCTGCCAATTGTGTTCTTCTTTTAATTTCAGCATCTTGTTTTGGTTTTCCTAGTTTGATGACATGACCTAGATATACATAATGTTTAACATTTTCGATGGTATGATTTTGTATTGGTATATTTTTCTGGTCTCGGCTCAGTATTTTTGTTTTACTGTAGTTCATTTCTAAGCCTGCTGCTCCTGAAACTGTATTTAATTGTTTTAACGTATCATTTAGTTCTTGGATATTATCGGCTATTAAAACTACGTCATCTGCGAATCTCAAGTGGTTTAAGTATAACCCGTCGACGTTAATACCCTTGTTGTTCCATTTTAGTTTTTTAAAAATGTCTTCTAGAGCAAGGGTAAATAGTTTGAGAGAGATGATGTCTTCTTGTCTTACTCCCAACTTTTCAGTGTTTTATTGTGCACTTCCGCCATCTACGCCGCGCCGTGCCGAATGTATTTTTCTTCGCTGTGGCTACCGTTGTGGACTTCATCAGTGACCCTGGATAAGGGACCCTAAGTAGGTACTAATTTATCAGGTCAGGAAACCTCTGAAATCTGCGAAGAGCAGGGATTCATTCATTTTCCCTGATAGGATTATCCATATGAGTTTCTATTCACTACCCGCTGTTAGTAAAGCAAATGTTAGTAAAGAGAAATTCAACGCTATCAAAGCTCTACAAGAAAAGCCCATAAATATATTACCAGCTGACAATGGCAACGCAACTGTAATTAAGTATAGAGAAAAGTCAATATCCGGAAAACATCCAAGAACTGGTCACAAATTAGCTTTAAACAAAACGAAAAGAGAACTTACCAAATCACTGGAAAGCAGAATACATAAAACACTGTAAATTAAACAAGACAAACAACC